TCATTTGAATACCAGGCCTCTAGGAATTCTCTGGCATTTTTGCAGTTCCCTTTGTCTAAGATTTGAACATTGTCCCAGTCGAATTGGTGCCCGTGGTTGTCTGCATGTAGTGATATGAGGGAGTGTATGTCGTGTCTTTTGACAGCTAGTTTGTGTTCGTGAATGCGAAGACGAAGAGGGCGTCCACTTTGACCAATGTAATGTTTGTCACAGTCGTTGCAACTTATCTTGTAGATGACGTTAGTTTTGTCTTCTTTTGCCATTGAGTCCTTTGGTTTACATAGAACTGAGTGAAGTGACTTTGTTGGTTTATGAGCGACATCGATTCCAAAAGGTTTGAATAGTCTTGCAGTGATTTCGGAGATATCTTTTATATATGGTAGGACGACTTCCTTTGTGTTTTCGCTGGTGGCCTTTGATTTGGTTGGTTGAGCTGGGGGTAGATGTCTTTTGATGAAGTTTCGTGGGTATCCATTTCTTTGGAAGACGTCCATAAGATGATTTTCTTCAATTTTCCTCAAGGCGGGAGTGCTACAATGAGTCCTGGCTCTCTTGAACAATGTACGTATGCAGCTAATTTTGTGTGATGTTGGGTTGTTACTGTTGTAATTGAGTATTTGATCCGTGTGCGTTGGTTTTCTGTATACTTGGGTTTCTAATTTTCCTGTAGTTGTTCGTTTGATTAAGACGTCTAAAAATGGGATTTTGTTTTCATATTCTTCTTCTCTTGTGAATTTGATGTCGTTGAAGGTGTTGTTTATTATGTTGTGGGTGTTGTCTAAGTTTTCTCTTTTGATTATCACGAATGTATCATCTATGTAGCGTATCCAAATTTTCGGTTTGATCTTTGGCAGAATTATGTTTTCCAGTCTTTGCATGACGGCTTCCGCAATCAATCCTGATATGGGTGATCCCATAGGTGTCCCTTGAATTTGTTCATACATTTGGCCGTTGAATTGGAAATAAGTTGTGAGACACAAGTTTATGCATTCCATCCAACTTGAATGCTGCATTTTTGATTGTTGTATGTGTTCATCGTTGTTGAGTAGTTGTTCCATGGTTTCTTTTGCTAGTTTTAGTCCAATCGAAGTATATAATGCCGTGACGTCGAAGGATACCATTATTTCTTCGTTGTCTATTTCAATGCCTTTGATTTTCTCTAAAAATTGGGTCGCAGATTGGATGGAGTGATCACATGATTTCGTCAAGTGTTTCAGTCTTCTGTATAGTTCTTTGGATAAATTGTATGTTGGGGTTCCTGGGAGTGATACGATTGGTCGTAGAGGTATATTTGGCTTGTGTATTTTTGGTCTGCCGTAGAATCGAGGTATGACGGGTTCAAGGGACACCTATGGGATCACCCATATCAGGATTGATTGCGGAAGCCGTCATGCAAAGACTGGAAAACATAATTCTGCCAAAGATCAAACCGAAAATTTGGATACGCTACATAGATGATACATTCGTGATAATCAAAAGAGAAAACTTAGACAACACCCACAACATAATAAACAACACCTTCAACGACATCAAATTCACAAGAGAAGAAGAATATGAAAACAAAATCCCATTTTTAGACGTCTTAATCAAACGAACAACTACAGGAAAATTAGAAACCCAAGTATACAGAAAACCAACGCACACGGATCAAATACTCAATTACAACAGTAACAACCCAACATCACACAAAATTAGCTGCATACGTACATTGTTCAAGAGAGCCAGGACTCATTGTAGCACTCCCGCCTTGAGGAAAATTGAAGAAAATCATCTTATGGACGTCTTCCAAAGAAATGGATACCCACGAAACTTCATCAAAAGACATCTACCCCCAGCTCAACCAACCAAATCAAAGGCCACCAGCGAAAACACAAAGGAAGTCGTCCTACCATATATAAAAGATATCTCCGAAATCACTGCAAGACTATTCAAACCTTTTGGAATCGATGTCGCTCATAAACCAACAAAGTCACTTCACTCAGTTCTATGTAAACCAAAGGACTCAATGGCAAAAGAAGACAAAACTAACGTCATCTACAAGATAAGTTGCAACGACTGTGACAAACATTACATTGGTCAAAGTGGACGCCCTCTTCGTCTTCGCATTCACGAACACAAACTAGCTGTCAAAAGACACGACATACACTCCCTCATATCACTACAAGCAGACAACCACGGGCACCAATTCGACTGGGACAATGTTCAAATCTTAGACAAAGGGAACTGCAAAACTGCCAGAGAATTCCTAGAGGCCTGGTATTCAAATGAATCAGCAATCAATAGACACATAGAGATTGACAAAATATACCAACCCATACGAAGAAATTCACACAAAAACAAAGTCAAACTTCAGGTCAAGGAAACAGTCAACACCAAAACAAGTGAACTAGAAAGTGAGAAGTCACACAAAAACAACCAATCACGTTCAAGGTTAGCAGAAGGAATGACTAACGACATTCAGACCAAAGAAGCAGCCAGCACCGAGACAAGGAAACTAGGGGATGAAATGTCACACGAAAACAACCAATCACGTTCAAGGTTACTAGAAGAGATGACTAATAAACTCATAGAGAATTCTAAAAGCTCACTTCACATCGAAGTATGCGCTGAAGATGTTGCTCAGTAGAGCAATGAAAGCTTCGCAACCAAACCATCCAGCTCAGAGAACACAACCACACCAAAATCATCCACCTGAGCTACAAAGCTTCTCCATTATATCTGAGACTGATGGTATTTTCAAAAAGCCTCTTTTTATTATTACTGATGATAATGTCAGTGATGTGATGCAGTATCAGTGGTGATAAGAAGTTATAAAATAAAATGATATGAAGGGAAATTTTAAGATATTATGCAAATCAGATTTAAAGAAAACACTTGAATTGCTGAATGAAAAAGAGTTTAGGAAGAGGATGGGAGAACTTTATACGTAATTACAATAGGAATGTAAAATTTATGATTGAGGGAGAGGAGAGAATTTAAAAGCTGATAGATGCAAAGCAGTTTATTGAAACCAGTCGATTTCCTATCGTTTAATTTGACCGAAAAAAAATCCTGAATCTCCAAGCATAACGCTATGGTACTTTAAATGGTGAGCTCTAAGTCTGAGTCGGATGGCGATGCATTTAAAAACACCTGATAAGTCTAAATTAGGACAAAACACTTTGAGTGTGCTCCACTTCTGGTCATCACCGATCAAATAACCGAAAACACAGTCGTTCATCTAATTTAATTGATCATATGATGTATATTTTGTGTAGCTGGTCACTAATTATAAATTATGATCAGTCGACTCTTAAGACTTAAAAGATGGATGAATTGATTATAATTATGACTTTTAAAAGCATTCGTCAGATCTTTTACTAATTCTATTGAAGTGATTTGTGTCCAATGTAATCTGGAGGTAACCAACGAATGTGACCGGCGAAAGAAGAAATACAGTGTATACGAAACTTCATTTTTCCAACCTATTTTACAGCGGATACAAACGATACAAAGGCACTATTACTGGTTTGTTTCATTCTGTGTCAAACTTTGTTTGTTCACTCTGCTTATCTTTCTTCTCCATAGAGCAGGTAAGTTTTTTTAATGTTTTGATCTACTCAAAGTATCTGAATATTTATCCATATTAACAATGTTCCTTGATACCTTTTTTATCATCATTTAAAATTGTATTGAAAATACTGGAGCGCATAATATTGTTTCAAGATTTCATCATGAATTGAAATCGGTTAGAGGACCAATGGAAAACCAGTATCAGAGTACTGGAAAGCTGTTTCGTCCTACTTTGGGACTCATAGGCAGTACGCACCCACGTTGCGGGGCTCGAATCCAGGACCTTCTGGTTACAAGGCGAGCTTGTATAACATTAGCCCAGTGGGACCCAATCCAGTAGTTAGTGCATGAATTCCAACTTCTGCCAATTCACGCTATAGTGCAACCACAAACCAATGACAACCTACTGTACTCCACTGGTCACGACTTCCCATAACATTGTGTAAATTTTAAGCTGCAATAGACGTGGCAGACAAAGGTTTGACAAATTGCCATTTGTAATTCTTGTTATGAATCTGGAAAGATTGAAACCAGACGGTAAATTATAGCCCTTCACACTGATCTATGTATATATCAGCATATATCAGTTCACCTGTTGTGTGGTGCGAAGTATATTGGTCGTTTGACGCGTATCCTGTACAAAAGGGTCAAAGAACACTATCTCGCATGGTTACATAGGGGTAACAATGGCCATATAAGGAGTGCAATAATCGGAAATCTCGTCAGCACTGGTCATTCCATCTAAGCAAACGCCTCCTTCAAAGTGATCTACAAAGTGAAGAACAATCTACTAAAGGCAATACGCTTTCGTCTCCTTCGTATTGTTGAAGCTTCAACCATTCAATCGGTAAAACCGGAGTTATGCATACAAAATTAATCATACAACTCACTCATTAAACTATTCGTCTTATTACGTAAATTCATTATGCTTAATAAATACTTTTTGACAACCCATCACCACTAGCCTCTTACCAATCTTCACCCCCCTAGTTACAATTTCATTGTTCATCACATTTTTGAAATGTCTTGATGATAAGAATAACTATAACTAATTTTTATTCTTATAGGACAAACCTAATATACGCACATAGAAAAATAAGTATAAATAACTGAGAGTGTACAGCTAAGTGAATGAATTCGCCGCCGAAAAGAGACTCTTCACTGAACTACGTGTTTTGTTTTATTAATGTCTGGATGGGGATTATTCATGAATTAATCTGTATGCAACATAGAGATTATTTCGTAAAGAAAAGTAATGAAGTTCACAGATCCCTAAACATGTGGTGAGAATTCAAGCTATCAAATGTGTCGATTGTAAAGTAAGACACTTTTAGACCTACACCTAACAATACCTTTAATCACATATATTTTATTCAGTAGAATGCATGGAAATGAAATTAAGTAACACACTGAGTTGTAACCTCATTAAAAGCATAAAAATTACTTACATCCTCTGCCACAGCAATGAAGAGCTTCTTGTATATTAGCCATAACTGTTTGATTTTCTGATCCAGGTTGAAACATTTGTACTGCAAATGTTATACCAACTTCTAAATGTCTTAACCATTGTGACAGAATAGTATAAAGAATGCCTGCTTCTAATACAGCTAAGAACACCAAAGCAAATATCTGCATGGAAATGAGAAAAAAAGAAGAGAGAATAGTGAGATTAGAATAATTAAAATTTCCTGATAATATGATTCTATGTAGTTAGTAATGGTTACATACTGAAATGATTAGCATTCTTGTTGATTTGTATATATGTCAATGGAGGCATTCAGATAACGACATACGTAGTCAGTCGAGAAGTGAAGACTTTTTTTCACGAGATACGGCAGTATTTATGACCAAGTTCTTATGATTACTTACTCAGGATAGCTACATTGTCTGTCAATAAAAGTGTTGAAAATAGGGTAATGGTGATCAGCATTTCAGCACATCTAATAGTTAGAGGCAGTCGTCAGGATGCCCAGAACCTAGGTTTCATGTTCATTAGACCTAGTCAGCAATATGTATCTGCAATCTTAAAGGACGTCTCATGGGAGATTAAAGCCTACTTTACCCAGTGCTTCAGTGACAGGCGCTAATGGTTATCTATTAGGGCTCAAGAATAATCTCCTGTAGCATTCCAATGAATATATTGATTCGTCAATGGGTAGTAGCCAATATGATGTTCCCAATTATTGAAATTATTGGTTCTGACTAAATTCTCTTGGTCATATTTGACAAGTGGTCACCAGGCTGCTTGGCTTGCAGTCATGGTGTACTTGGGAACATTAGGTCAAGGGCTTCTAACCAAGTACTTTCAACAATCTAACACCTATTCGAAGTGTCCCACAAAGATGAGTCGCCTAGCTTGGTGACCCCATTACATATATGAATGATGTAATCAAATCAGAAACAACACAAGGTTATTCCTTAGTGACTAATTCATATATATCATATAAGGTTGTTTACACAAAACATGCTCAAGCGATTTCATGGATGTATTAGCCTGACTGAAGAAATAAGTGATTCGGTCTATACATTTCTAATTTTCAGCGTCTCATAAAGTCAAATTGAGAAAGTAAGATGCTTACACTCTGAAATGTATTTAGAAAAACTTTATACATTACAATAAACGTATTTTAATTCAGTGAATGTCAATCCTAAGTGTTTACCGGGATGCTTATCATCTCTTCATAATTTTGTTTTTGCAAGTTTATTGCTTTGAATGATTTTACTGAATAGTGCAAATATCACATGTTTTACCCTATCTCGTTGTTCCGTTCACATTTATTTCCACTTTAATATTTATCATTCATTATTTGACAGCATTAAACAGTTTCATAAGTTAACAGCTGCCTTCGTTGCATATTGATGATCAAACAGTCAGAAAGGATTCGTAACAAGGAACTCTGCGAACAAATCAAGGAATATCTTGTTACCCATCAAATATGCTGAAGAAAATGGCGATGAACTTGATACACGCTACAGAAACCGTTGCGTGACACCGCGAGCCAGGTATACTATCGAGTGGGTGTCAAACGAGTAACTGCGTTTTGACAGTCTAATATATAGGAGACCATATGAGGAGGTGATCAGCGTTTACTGGCGATAGTGGAGCCACCTAAAGACGGCTTCAGAAAACAGAATAAAATAGAGATATGCTTCTGAAGCCCTGTGTTTCACTCGGGACTGAAGGCAGTAATAATAATAACAATAACGGTTTTATAAATTCACGATGAAAATTACATCGAAGTTAGTCATAAAATTTGTTGATAGATTTAACTGCCGGTTATCAAATACACCAACTGCTTGATCTTTCACAAATATCTGAACAAACTACACAAATTTATGGTGTAACAGCATCAGAGTATGAAAACGACTCCTAACTTGAATTCTCCGTATTCTTGTTGATCTCGGGGTATTTTGATAATTTATTTTCCAGCATTTCCTCATATTTAGATATATATATATATAATCCAGCTCCATATACTAAAACGATTAAGATCATGTAAGCGGAAAAAATCTCTATGACTTTTAAATTTAGAATTTAGACAACAGCTCTTAAGTTTATCAGTTTAACAAAACAATTTCTGATATAATAGAATATCCTTCATGAGACAGGAAACAACTTAAATAAAAGTTACTGCATATAAATTTTATAAATTTAATATCGCTGTAGAATTTTTGACTATCATTATTTTACACAGATAAACAAAAGTGATTACTTCGTAGAAAAACATGCTAGTTTTGAATGTGGAAATAAAGAGATAAAACACATTTGATGACGGACTGTTATCATTTGGAGAACCATTAAAACCACCAGAGACTACTGGACAGCTGTTTCATCCTAGTTTGGGAATCATCGGCAGTACGCACCCACTGAGGTTCGAACCCAGGACATTCCGGTTACAAGGCAAGCTCGTATACCATTCAGCCACTGCGGCCCGATTCAATGGCCCATGAATTCTAACTTCTACCAATTCACAATTTAGCGCGACATATAAATGAAAAATTTAACCTACGACAGTGATTTTGCGGATCAAATAATAATGATAATAATCATAATCTGGTAAATTTTTTGAACGTCAATAATAACGATGATTATAATGATAACAAAATAATGATAATAAGGTTTATGCATGTGGGGATAAGAATAAAGAAGGTAGTAATACTTGAATATGTAGACAATTCAGTAAACGGATTAGGTCAAATCTTAGAAGTTACGTAATACTAAAGGTGAAGTGGACAGATAACCACAGTTTAAATATTATTAAAACATGAGGAAAATGCAAAATGAGAAAGGGTGGTAAGGGTTTTAGTTATACTTTATCTACGCCAAGGGAAAAACAAAGGTAGAACAAATTTCTTTTGTTGTATGCAAAGACTAGGATTGTTCTCTCGAATTAATTCCCATAGCTTCAGGCTATGTGAAAAAGGCGAGTTCGAACTCCCTTCGAAAGGCTCGATGGAATGCGGCACTACTTCTGTTCACTTAGTGATCGCTATCAATCAAATGAGTCAAAATAGAACTTCTTATAGATTTTATTTGATTTTTTCCGAACCATGAAGGAAGATGCTCATTAATGCGTTTATTAAGCTGTCTAGTTGTTCACCCTATGTACCTCTCTCCACAGGAGCAACTAAATTTGTAGATGCACATTGAAGTGGCACAGCTAGTCAGCTTGCCTTTCGCTTGATCAATCATAATTGGTTGGCTTGAGAATGACTAACAAAGGTTGCGGCAGTATAAGTCCGTATTATCGTTTAACTCACAGTCGTAATAAAAGTAATACCTTACATCCTAAATATTAAAAGTTAATCTCTTTCTAATCCTATACTATATGATTATTACTCACTACGAAATCATGTCAGGTATGTTTATTTAGCATAGAATAGTACCAAATTATTTACTCCATGTCATTTTAAGCTTAAATTACTATGCATAATTACATGAGACTAAACCTCTTGCCCGCATAGACTATAGTGTCCATATTTCAGTTTTCTGTTAGTAACAAAACTCCCTTGATTTGACGCATAGTTTTCAGAAAAGTAAGAGTTAAGCAATAAATTTTACTAGTTAATATTTTCCTTCTATTTGTCAACACAATGAATGATAATAAATCACAAAATGAGTTAAAAATAGGTAAAGAAGATATTCTGGGAGGAAATTAGGACATCAGTAAATACAGTTTATAACAATCTAACGGTATTTTGTAAACATACATTAGATATTTGACAGAAACCTATAGATAAACATGAGATGAAACTAATATTTGCCGGCTGTAAAACTGCCATTTTGCTTTTCGTTCTATACAAAGCTCATCACTTATAGCACTATCGTAATTACTGTTATCTATGAATTCAGTAGTAATCACACAAAGCTGCTAATGTTTTGCCTGTTGTTGTTTGAACATAATCTAATCCCATTTGACGATTGTCATAAGTGTATCTTTACTATAAATGCTGCAGAAATGAAGAGTTAATAAAGTCAGGAAAGAATTAGCTAAATATTTCCACAAAAGCCAGTTACTTCGATTCGACAGGAAAATTATAATCATGACAAAGTGAAATCTCATCAGGGATGAGACTGTTTTCTTACCAGGTAGAGTTCCTAGCCCCATACCCTACTTTCCATCTTTTGTGGGCTGAGAACCGTAGGGAGTGAGATGAGCCTACGCTGGACCGACAAAAAAAGGCACATATGATTTGGATTTCGCAGATAATTAGTATCACATTTCATCCAAACTCAAGCTATGTAAGCAAAAACCAACACTTTGCCAGCAGAGGAGGAGAAGACAAGATTTCAGGTAAAACTTTGGTGAGGGTGGGGATAGATGTGATGAAAACGTAGAGTAAATAACTGCTAACATCGATCACTATCAATAGGAGGAATCTAAATGAAGTCTTGTCTTTCATTTACTTGGATTGCATTTCTTCATATACAGGCGGAACTGGGAGGACAAGATAGGTTTCTATTACTCTGAAGTCATTGTGGATACCTACAGAAATTAGGACAGGAAATATAACCTTGTGCATCACGAAGAGCTTCTGAAATAGCCTGTTACAGATTTTTATCATCAGTATCATTCTCTGTTTCGATGCTAAAGACCAAATGGCCACCCGGAATTTTGGAAGTAAATCAACTAACAACCTGTTGCTCAGCAAATATGCGGAAAGAAATGGAGATGGATTGGAGACCTTCAACTGACGTCATAACTAGACCTTTTAGTTGGTCTCCAGTAGGAAGCAACAAGTTGGGCGTCTGACGGTGACGTGGAGAGGGGCATATGAGGGGGAATAGAAAGCTTGTCGATAGTCATGGATCAGGATGAGAGTGATAACAGAAAAGTGAGTGCAATACAGATGTTCTGCTGAATCCTTCGTTGTCACTCAAAATTTAGGCAATCACATGACAGTGATGACGGAATGAACTGTTCTAGTAAGATTCGAATGTTATCTAATCAATAATAACTCTAAGTAATAATAATTTGTTTTATTCCAAAACAGTACTTGTGATACAGAATGGAATTCTCAGCATTTTTACTACAGTATTGCATCCAGTTAGTACATTATCAATAAATAGAATTCTACATAGATTGAGGAAACCAACAGTTCATTATTACAACAATACATTGGCATGT